CCACCTGCCTTTTAAGCACAAGGGCCCAAGTTTGATCCCTGGTACCAAAAACAAAAAGAAAGAAAAAAAGCCTTGATCATAGTTCCCTGCCCTGACTGCCTCTCCTCTACCTAAATACATTTTTCATTCACTAACCACGTTGTCATTGGCTTTTGCTCTTGCTGTTTTCTAATGCCTCAACCTCTTATCTTTTTCTTCCACAGTGTCCTTGAAGTGGCGATTACATTTTGAATTTGTAACATCCCGAGAACCAGGAATGGTATTACTGCCCCCCATGGAACAGCCTGAACCTGCTACCTGGACAGGTCCTGAGCAGGTGCCTGTAGATACCTTCAGCTGGGAACTCCCCATCAAGGTGCTGCCTACAAGCCCCACTCTGGCCTCATATGCTGCCCCAGGTCCCAGCACCAGCACCATAACCATCTGAAACGCCTACCTGCCCACGATGGCCCTGGTTTTTTCAAGATACTAAGAATTCCACACTTTAACTCTGGCCCACATTTTCCCACTTGGGGCCCAATGGCACAGACAACGGGAGGCAGGCTTTCAGCTGTAGCATTAATTTATTTATTCAGAATAAATTGGCAGCTGCTAGTGGTTTCCCGGCGGTGGCAGCAGCAGTGAGCAGTCAGCAGATGGGTGATCAGGTGAGTTCTAGCTGGGATGGGGAGCTGAGCCCCACTCTGTGTCAGGCCCTCCACCTTTGCAGGGTAGCTGAGGATCAGATTTTTGCACCAAGGAAAATTGACAGCTTCCTGCCTCCCGACGAACCTCACACCCAGCAGGGAAGTCAATGGGATGCTGAGACCTGAGGAACCAAGGATGGGGAGTCAGCACAGTAAACGATTACCTTTATAGTCCCCTGTACCCTCCCACAGCTGTCTTCCCATGTCCTACTTTAGTGTCCCCTGGTCCTCCTGACTAAGTTCTTAGTATATAAAAATTTTTGTGGCAGGAGTATTTTCCTCCAGATCCATCTTAGCCTCCATCACTGTGAGTCCTAAAGGCTTATCTTTCTCTTGTTGCTACCTTCAGGTCTGGCTAGTCTCATACTTCTCCCTGTTCATTCTTACCTCACAGCAATACAGTCACTCCCTGGCCATCCCTCAGTAAGTTACATCAGAGGCATTCCCTTAAGCCATTCTTGCTTACTCACGTGTCACAGCAGCCCACACCGACAGGATGCAGACAGGTACAATGGAAACAATCCTTGCGGAGCCAAGACTCACCCAGGGTGAAATATTTCCCCTCATAATGACAGGGAGCTGGGGAACAATGAGCACTGTTAGTAGGTGTGGGAGTGGTGGTAGCAGACAAGTCTTTTCTGGTCTGGGGTGGTGGGAGAGAGTTGGTGCATACTACCCCCATGATTAGTCTTTCCTGTTTCACATTTGGAGGAAGTTGGGGTATTCTGACAAAGGATCACCTCCAAGCCCTTGCTGCCACTCTCTGCCCCCCACCTTCCCCTGCTTCTCAGCCTTTCCTAACCCTCACTCTACTTTACCTTGAGCTTGGAAGTAACACTTGCTGTGGACTCCTGGGTACTGCAGAAGTAGAGACACCACCAAATCCCCCCCACCCTTGCTGCCTCTCTCTGCCCCCCGCCTTCCCCTGCTTCTCAGCCTTTCCTAACCCTCACTCTACTTTACCTTGAGCTTGGAAGTAACACTTGCTGTGGACTCCTGGGTACTGCAGAAGTAGAGACACCACCAAGCAGATGGTCCCCCAGTCTCCTAGGGTCCACTTGGCCTGTCCAGTGCAGAGCATTCTCAGGGCCATTTCTGTGGCACAGCCCTCTTGGACCCTTCTTGGCTTCTGTTCAGGCTACTCTGGTTTTGTCGGCTTGGCTTTTCTTTTCTTTGCTTTGCTCCTTGAGTCTTAGTTTTTCTCTCTCCCTGGGCTTCTCTCTCACACCATCTCGATGCCCTCTTTCACAGGCTGAGGATGTTTATAAAGTGAGGACCCTGGCCCCCTGCTGAGTTGAGCTGGAGATGCTGTAACTCTTGTTTCCTGAGGTGAGGGCATGAAAACAAGAGGTCCAGCTTTAACAAGCTGTGAGAGCTGATTCATGCGCGCACTGGGCACAACTTGAAGCAGGGCTGTGGCCATGGAGGGGGAACTGGACTAGGCACTTCCCCAGCAAGGAGGTGGGAGGAGTGCAGGCCCCAGGGGGTCCCCAGATCTCCCAGACCCACAGAAAGGAAGCATTCTACACCCGCCCCCCTGCCACCACAAGGGGTGTGTGTTAGGATCCCTGCCTGAACCGGAGGGAGGCATTTCCTGAGGATAGCTAATTCTGTGCCCTGGCCAAACCAAGGAGCTGCAGCCTGGTGTAGTAGCCAGATGCTCCAGGAGAGTGAGCACGTACCTGGAGTGCATTGTTTCCCACAGACCCTGGGCATGGTTTCCCTCTTCCATCTGAGAAACAGAGCTGCCTCCGAAAGATAGGAAAGGGGTTTCTCTTTTTCTCAGTCATCCCGGAGATCAGGTGTCCATTGTTTATCACCCTTATACACAAAATGGATAGAAGATTGTCCTAGGCTTGGGATGTTTTATGCTCCTTTCAAAGAAGGGTATCTCTAATCCCCCAAAGGGGATCTGTCACCACTTTCACAGGAGTCAGTCACCAGTTTCCTCATGATGGAATTTAGGAATTTTCCTACTTTGAGTCTCCTGCAGGTTTTGGATTACCTACAATGGTGACTGAGAGCAGCAGCTATAGTGTCAGACTACTAGGGTTCAATTCTAACTCCAGTTACTAGCTATGTGACCTTGGGCAAATTACTTCACCTCTCAGCCTGTTTCCTTATCTATAATTGGGAATAGGAATGCCAACTCAGAGTTGTTACGAGATAGTGCATGGTATGTTCTCTTCACTATCTCTGCAAACATAACCCTCAGGAAATATTAGCTACTGAGACAAAATGGGTGGCATTTTTTCTTTGAAAGACATCAAGCAGTTTTGTATGCACAATTGAGGGTTTCTGTTGGGGACTCTCCTGGCTCACCTTGATCCCTTTCATACTGATGCTCCATCATGTCCCTACCACATCCTTCAAAAACAGATGCGTTCAGGAATGTTTTGCTTTTTGACCTTATATTCTTGAACTCTGAATTTAGTTTCAGAAATGAAGTTTACTGATCGGTGCTTTCTCACCAGTGCCCTCACCTCTGCCCTGGGAAGAGGTACCATTTTCTCATCTATTTTTGTTTGTTGGTTTTTCGAGACAGGGTTTCACTATGTAGTTCAGGCTGTCCTTGAAATCACTATGTTGTTCAGGCTGGCTTTGAACTTGCAGCACCTGAGTTTTGGGATTACAGGGATTCACCATCATTCCTGGCTTCTCATATTTCTAGCCAACTTTAGTTACCTTGTTGGGTTTGTCTTTTTTTTTTTTTTTTTAATTTTTTGGTGATGAGAACCGAATCCTGGGCCTCATGCTTGCTAGACAAGCATTCTATCACTGAGCTAAATCCCCAACCCCTAACTTTAGGACTGTACCTTTTTCATTAGGATTCTGATCTACTTCCCATTTGTTCTCTCCCTCTTTTCTTTTTTATTTTGAGACAGTCTCACTAAGTTGTCTGGGTCGGGCTTGAATTTGCACTTCTCCTGCCTCAGCCTCTGAGAATGCTGTGATTACAGGCATGCACCACCATGCCTGGCTCAGTTCTCCCATCTGACCTAATGCTGGCCATATTTTTGGTGCTACAGGCCCTGGTCAAACTGGATTTATTTCACTTTTCCATACTTCAGAGGGCCATGTTCCAGCTATTCCCTTGCCATGTACAAGGCCAATCACTTTTGGCATTCTCTTTTTCCTTAAGTCTATTTTCATTTACTGCAAGACTCATTGTCACCTTGTGCATCAAATACAGCTACTTCTGGCAGACTTTTGCAGGGGGCTATCCTGTTTATCACCTGTTCAGAAACGACTGTCTGTATTCTGCAGACTCTTTCAATGTCCTCTTTCAAGGTACTCTTTCCCTTTCATAAGAGTGCCAAGAAAAGAAGAAAGGAAAATCCATTTGTATCAGGGTGGCCTGAGGTAGGCTGGTGTCTATCCCAGAGATGCAGACATCTTACCAGTGGTCAGTCGCTCTTTTGCTGCTTTTGTGTAGAGGTGGGGGTGAGTGTCCACTTGATACCCCAAAGACTGGGCCATGCGTGCTGTTTTCTGCAACCTGGGGGTGCTGGTCTGAGTGGGGAGCTAGAATGGAGGTGATGGTGATAGAAGGTGAGGGGGAGCCTCTTGGAAGGGAGATGAGTTAGGTCTATGGGGTAGGAGTAGGTAACCTTCTGGAAAGGGAGAAGCTGAGCTGAGCAGGGCTTCCTCTCCCACATTTGGGGTTTGGGAAGTGGCACAGAGGTACTGGTGACCACGTTTGAGTGTGTATGTGTAGGGGGTGTCAGTGGTTAGGGCCCAGCCTAAAGTCCCAGAAGGAGCGGTTGTTTGGGACTCCAGTGGCCACAGGGTGGGAGGAGTGGCTGGTGCACTCTGCTCTGGGACAAGGAAAACATCCGCCGGAGGCCCAACCAGGCTGTGCTCCAGCGGCCAGGGCAGGTGCTTGGGGCAAGGAAGTGAGCTAATTCCGGTCCCCGCAGTCTGGCAGCTGCCCTCCGCCTCTGGTGAGTCACCTCGATCCCCTCCCACCCGCACCGGGATGCAGAGTGCAGCCTACCTTGGGATCCTAGCGGGAAAAATGATAAAGGGATCACTGAAGGACCTCTGTCTTGGGGCACCCAAAGCACGCTGGATACCTAAGTTTGTCATTGAATGGAGGTGGGAGGGGAGTAAGCATCTGGGAGAATCTTGAGGGCAAGAGGAGGCCACTGGAAGATTACATGGAGAGGGAAAGGGGTTTGTGGAAATGGGGTGTGGGAGGCCAAGAAAGGAAAGTGGAGAGCTGTTGCCTGGAGTAACAGGAATGAAAACGGCCCAGTTGTGCTTTGGAGAACACAAAGTCATGCAAGGAAAGATTCCCATCAATTGGCCAATCTCATCATGAGGTCTGTGGGGACAGCAGGGTAGGTTTTAGGGAGTAGTGGGAGTTTGGGCTATTTGGACAGAGCTGTGGCTAGGTCATCAAAGGTTTTTGATATGGAGATAAGGGGTTCTGATTTGGTCTTACAGGTAGCATGCAGCAATAGTTGGTGGCCAGGTAATCCCCACACATTGGGAAGCTGAGGCAGGAGGAGCTCAGCTGGGGCATTTAGTGACTTATCAAGACCCTGTCTCAAAATTTATGAAGGGCATGGCAGGAAGTGGAGGTTTGCGCTGGGGGGTGGGGAGTGGGAAGTCTGGGGTTGTAGCTCAGTGGTGGAACTCCGCTGGGTTGTATCAGTAACAGGGTTACCCCCAGTAACCAGGTTTTAATCTAGCATTACTGTCCACTGGCTTTGCCCCCCCCCATACTGTTGTGCTCATTTTTGTGGTCATTTAAAATTGCATGGCTGTACTGGGCCGGGGATTTAGCTCAGCAGTTTGGTGGCCTGCCTTGCAAGCAGAAGGACCCGAGTTCAATCCCCGATACCAAAAAAAAAAAAAAAAAAAAA